TTATACAGAAATTATGCATTTTGCTTTGTACCCTCTGATAGTTTTGCTCCTTGGTTATTTGTCCAACTTGATCTAAGAGCTGACGTATTCTAAGTTGGAGCTCTGATAACTTTTCCTTCTGTGCTACATTGGCATAATCGATTGCATGTTCCCCTACTTGAATATCTAGATGTACTCTCTGCAAATGAAATATTTTTTCCAACATGTATGATAAGTCTTTTATTTTTTTATTAACAGCAATTTGATATGACAGTAATTGTACCACACACATACACACACACACACACACACACACACACCTATCATCTTACCAATTGAGTACCGCTGAACCAGGCAGTGCTGTTGGAATATAAGCAGATTACATGTTCTCCTGGAGTGTGCGAGGTAAAGGAAATTCGACCTTCGGAGCTGTAAACTCGAGAAACCATAGGTTTGTCGTCGGGATCCTTCACTTGGACGTGCATACCAATGCCAGGGCTACTTGGCATGAAACCTCCACTTCTTGGGTCATAAAGCTCCACTTTGTAATTGACTGCAAATTGCGAATAAAGAAATATTGCTTGTCGGGGAAACGATAATAGAAAGCAGAACAATTTTCTTTCACGTATTTTTGCAAAATTTTTGTTTTCAATCTCGCTAAAAGATTAAAAACAGACAACAAAAAGAAGCAATAAAGCAATAAGTAACAATTAAAAGCTTTTGGATTTTACCAAAAACCGTAGTGTCGTCGGGGATCTCTTCGATGAAACATTTCCGCTCAGTTTCACCGATATGAAAATACAGACTAGTCCCAAACTGAAGAGTGCATAGAAAGACGAAAAAAATACTTCCGTATTTTAACATATTTCACGTGACAATGTATTGCCAACGACAAGATGTGTATATGAAATCACGAAGGAACGTTCGCACGCATGCCAGAGATGACAACCCTGACCGCGGTTGACGACGAGACACGAGAGGCAACGAAACCGGAGCAGACGGCAACTAGACGACGCGCGTGGAATAGGTACACGTCACCTTCGGCTTCGAAAAGTAAGAACGGCTCCTTGCTTCTTGCTTGAGAACGTCGCTTGAAAACAAATTAACTTGTTGGTCAAGTAGACTTGATTAGACGTCACATCGATACACGTATCACGTATGGCATCGTGGTGCGGCACTACCAGCTCAAATTTACTTGTCGATATTTGAGCGACAATCGCGCGCGCGGATAATACGTTCCCAACTCGATCGCATTGTCGATTATCGATATAAGCGTGGCGTGTTGTACATACATACCGATCGCAGGATAACAAACTGATGATCACTAGATATTTTGTCTATTTTATTATCGCAATGAAAAGTTTCAAATATATATATACACATATATGTATACAATGTAAACTTTTCATTTTCGAATAACAAAATTATATAGTTTATTTAATCGATCACGTAAATATCAACATTATCGGCTGATTGGCTATGCAACAGAGTGCCATCAATGCCGACAGCAGCAGTGCCGGCTCTCATCGGCTAGCTGCTGAGTTTCGATACTCGGCCGTCGATTCCATGTCGAGATCAGTCGAGATTCCAGCAGCTTTTTAAACCCTTCGAAAAATGGATGTCTATTTATTGACATTTATCGCCGCGGCGATCGTTGTACTAATTGTCATATGTACCGCTCTCTTACAAGGTATCTGACTCTTACTCTTTATAAGCCTTCAACTGTCTTGTTCATAAGCCTGGAGTCAAACTCTCTCTCTCTCTCTCTCTCTCTCTCTCTCGTGTAACCATGCTGCTGCAGTCAGACTCCGTCTGACTTAACCTTTAGACTATGCATGCTTTAGCTTTAGACAATCGATGTGATGATTATATTGACGAAAAATTACTAGTAAGTCGATATAAAAATCGATTAAAAAATCTTAGATATATGTATATCTTGTTAATTAAAAAAAGTTATTGCGTCAAGTGTCATCAATTAACAAACGAGTTTTATCTTTAGCTATGCGAAAAGTACGAGTCGGCGTAGTTGCCCCCCAAGACGATGGTGTGGTCCAGCAAGCTGGACGATTGAGGCGAGTAGGAGCCGTAAGAAACGTCAGACGTCGTATGCAGGCAAATGTTAATCACCGACCTGAAGAAAACGATAGGCAGATTGAGCAAGATAATGGAGACGAAGGTAATGGAGATGAAAAAGCAGAACTGCCAGATCATAAGATAGGAGCGAAAAAACGGGCAAAGCTAGCGGCTAAGGCCGAAAAGAAGATTCAAAGAGAAGCGGCTGAACGAGAGAGAGAAGAACGTAAAAAACGGGAACAACTTTTACAAGAGGAAAGGGATAAACGAGCTGAGAAAGAGCATGTTGAACAACTACGAGCGGAAGAAGTGGAAAAGAAAGCTAGAGAGGAAAAAGAGAAGCAAGAATACGAGGAATATTTGAAAATGAAGGAAGCTTTTAGCGTCGAGGAGGAAGGTTACGAACAGGAAAATAAGGAATGCGACAACTTATTGCAAGAATTTCTTGCGTATATAAAGATGAACAAAGTATTAGTTTTAGAAGATCTAGCTGCACATTTTGGGCTTAAGACAGCGAGTGTAGTAGAAAGAATTCAAGAATTGCAAGCTAATGGTAATTTAACTGGTGTTATTGACGATAGAGGAAAGTTTATTTATATATCGGAAGATGAACTTGAAGCTGTTGCTAAATTTGTGCGACAACGTGGTCGAGTTAGTATCACTGAATTAGCTGAAAATTCAAATAATTTAATTAATTTGACTCCTGCAAAAAACTGTAGCGTTTCAGCTAGCTAAATGTAAATGTTATGCCAAATGTTTTCTTATTCTATGTATTTTATACCGAGTACAATATTGCTAAAAAAATTGATTATTCTATTCAATGTATATGGTCTCTCGTCAATTTATAATATAAATTTGTCATATAATGGCGGGAATAATTATGAATTTAAATATGAAATTTACTTTTGACTAGTCTAATATTATTAATTTTTCCTTCCATTAACATCCCCATTTATATATGTACTTCCATTCCACTTGGTTCCATTTTTTTGGAATTTTACTGGTGATACATAATTTTCTTAAATCTTGCCTTTTTGAAGAACAGCGGAAACTCTATAAATTAGAAATTATTATAGAAATTACTTAATTATAGCTTAATTTTTAAGACATCTAGTCTCTTTTCAATTCTGAATATCAATTGAATTCTCAAGGCATGAAAGTGACAGTGTACGCAGAAGAAAAGTAGATGAAAGCTGTTATATTCCACAGATAATTTCGATTTTCGACTTAAGTACATCGCGGCGTCTATGAATCTTTTATTAATTTTCAAGTTTTTATTGTCAACAATAATCGTATATTTTGCTTTCTTTCGATATTTAACGCGCGCGGGCACGGTGACAGAAAGGAATTTTGCGTCGCGATGTACGTTCTGATGACGACACGTGGAACCGATGTTGCATCAGATTCTAGTTTACCTTAAGCTGCAACAACTATACACGACGTCGATTCTTATTTTCCCCTGAGCCTGAGAATATATAATTTATTCCGTAGTGGGCACGGCATTAACACGACATTGCGACTTGATCGCGAAAAAATAAAAAATATGTTATGCGTATTGTAATCGCAATATTGAAAAATTGAATGCGATTTCGAAAAATTTCCGCGGTTTCTCAAAGAAATACCTATACCTACGACACCTACTTAATTGTATTCGAAAAATTGGACGAGACAATTATTTATACAATAATTATGGGTATAAGTACAATATATATATATATATGGCAATAAATAAATTGACAAAACTTGTAAAATACTATAAGCTATAATAGATAAAAAAAAATATTTTCACAAGAATATTTTTGAATAACAAAAAATACAATGGGGAAGATTTTGGAATTGAATGGGTGTGATAAAATATTCGCGAAAGAATCAATGAATATGTATAATACATACACTTAATACGAACAATTCTCGCGGAAATACAGCTGCATTAGTTTTTCAGTCGAATTTTTGTATGTACGAAAAATTCATATTTTATATATATACGTACATGTTATAATATTTGATATAAAATACGCATACAAAAATGAGAGAAAGGGTCTATTATTTTTAATTTTAGTATTCGATATTTAAGACACGCAATCAATCGCCATTCATGAGATAATATATAAGTTGAAAATTAGACTCGACTACACTTTGAGCGTTAAAAAGAGGAAAAGAGAGAAAGAGCGAGTGTTCGAATGATCCCATCGCGACATATACCTACACATACACATATGTATATGTATATTGTTATTGCGAGCATGAAAACGGAAGGGAATACGTACATCTTTGAAAATGTATTTAAATCGCGTCCCGTTGATTTGCGCGCATCTAGGTATATATTGTTAACGTCATTCGTATGTATACGAACCTACCTGTTCTTAATAGGTCTGCATTGATTGCTGCTGCGCGAATCTTAATGCGAATATAAATGTTTGTAAAGACCCTTCCTCAAGGACGATGGAGATTTGCGAGAAACGTTTCGGACGATATTCCATTGTCGGCCGTCCATGCGGAGCGTCAAAGTTTTTCTGTCGATTACTTACCTATTATATTTGTATTTTCATATACGTACGCGTGCATACGTAATATATTATTTTATCGCTTAAGAAAGATATATGGTATATATAATATATATACATATCATGAATATTTGAATTTTGAATTGTAGATGTATATATGCGATTACATTGATCTTATATACATATAACGAAATAATAAAAGACTCCACCTTAAAATGGAATAGATATAATAAGAATACGATTTTACTTTTTCAACAAGATACAATTTTCTTTCTTAAGCGATAAAACATATTATGTATGCATATATATATATATATATATATATATATATATATATATATATCCATACACTGCAGTCTGCAGTCTTGCGCTGCCTGTATTTTTTGATTTGATAATTGGTTTTTTAGTAATAATTATTATCGCTGCACGAGCTAGTACGCAGCTGTTAATGACAAATCTATGTAAACTTACGATCACGTATGTGCATTATACATAATCAGTATATGTATTAGTCGCATTAGAAGGCAAGCGAATTAACAAGAGCTAAACGATAACTGTTGGAGGTATTATAAAATCTTAATGATTAATTCTATGAATTATTGATGATTGTGCTTCTGCATTAATGTAATTAAATGAGACTACCGCCTCGCCGTCATTATCACACTATGATGGATGTTTCGTGATTCTAATAAACTGGACAGCGTATTCAGTCTCCATTGATGAAATATATGATATACATATACGATATCGTCTTTGAAGAAAAAAAAAAATTATAGAATCATATCTTTCACTTGAATTATCTTCATTATTTGTTTGTAACAAAGTGTATGTATTACAGATGCAGGCTCAATATTAATTTCTTTTTTTATCTAATTTACACGTTATCTATTTCCGGCAGATCAGCAGAAAAACGCATCTTCTTGCTCATGTTTAATCACATATATATAATGTATGTATTATATAGTTACACAGCAATTAATGAATATAATATGTAACCATCGCGAATGTGTCCATCTACTCCGATCGAGTTAAGCTCGTTCATTAGCCACGATTTCAGTATATCCCCACTCGACGATGGTCAAAGATTGAGGAAGGGGAGTGTCGGAGACTATGTAAGAACGGCAGGATTGACGGAGAACCAACAGTCTTCTTGGGATTCTGTGTAACATTTACTTCTAACTTTCGAGACTCGATTCTTTCGAGACTTTCGAGTCTCACAATCCGCGGCTATTCATATCAGATCCATCTCATTCAAGCAGAAACGCGAGAGTGAGCTTTAAATTTACGTGAGAGTTTACGGGATCGAGAGAGCAAAACGCAGTATTTTACAGTGATCATTACGATCTATGTGTCCATGAGGTGCAAGATCTTAGATTGTCAAGGCAACTCTCCGACATTTTTACCCAGCGTCAGGTAAATAAGATAAAAATGAAAACTGTGAAATATAGAAAACAACTTCTGCATGCTACACGTCACTCCTTTGATCCTTGGATCTTTTCTACAGCGAAGAACCAAATGTCAAAATATCACGCGCATATCGCTTTGATCGTATCTGAATATATTATATAGTTTATTAAGTATTTAGTTTAAATTATTGAAATGTGTCGCGTACGTATTATCTATATAATTAATATCTTTATAATTAATTTCTTCAGGATTTTAAAGGAGAAAAAAACAGTAAAAATGTCGATAAATTTATTATTGAAACATATTATGTGTGTTTTAATATATAATATCCGTTATAATATTTTCGTAAATTGAAGTGTATTTTGAAGCGTAATCGGGAAATGTAAAATATGCTAATTTTTGAAAGTAATAGTAACGAAGTTATAGTAGAGAAGATTAAGAAAGCAGAAATTAATACATCAATAGTTTAGAAAACTTTTTTAGAGAAGGAATGGAAAGGTCGCAACATCGAACTCCTTTACATCATTAACTTTTCCATTCTCTTCCCACATACCTATAATTTCTTATTTCATTTCTTTTATTTCATGAAATTAAATAGCCTTTGATCAAATTGAAATCACACTAAAATCTCACACCGTGAGATATCTCGATTCGTTCAAAGAAAATCAGATATTATAATAAATTTGTATATAAGCACATCCAATAGCGCAGAATAATAGGATGTCGAGCAATATATTTCGTAAACGCAAAAGTTTATATAATCAGTGTTTATATAAATTACAGCTTAAAAAAACTATCATTTCTATTTTATTCCCAATTTTTATCTTCCATTTTGTTGGCATCTTTCGCAGGCTAGCCAAAAATCTTGGAACGCGCAAAGGGAGTCGACGAGGCAACGCTGGAAATCGGCTTGAATTATTGGTCCTGGTTCATTTGCATCACGTACCGTAGAGTATGTTATAAGTATATAAATACTCACATTTTCTTGAGAATGTACATACGCGTTTTTAACAAATATTCTAAAATCCACTTCTCGCTCTACAGCGATAAAAGCGCGGCGATCGATAATTTTTTATGGTAATCAAATTTCCAGGATATCCAATCGTAAATTCAATAAACTTACCTCCGAACCATTGCTCATCGTTAGTGCAGATTGCTTGATCGACTAATCGGTTTAACTAAAAACTGGAAGAACAGGGTAAATTTGTTCGTCACATCTGAAATTTATAAACGATAAAAAAATGGTGTATACCAACATAAGCGGTACCATGATTAAAGGACCTTATCAAGAAATTAAGTACGTATAAAATATTCATATTTATTAATAAATAAAATCATGAATTTTGCATAATCTGTTTTTTACAACATATATGTTCACAATACATAAAATATAATATTATAAGAAAAATAGATTATGAAACATAGACTAGAGAACACTGAATAATAATTCTCAATTGCAAATGTTCAAGGAAAGACAAGGAAAAACATGCGTCACCAAGTCAGCAACAGCAGCAGCAGCAGCCATACCGTCAGCAACAATCAAGAAAAGATGATAAATACGGTTCTTGGGGACCAATCTTTAAAAACAAGGAAAATTTTGTCAACATGCATACATGTTGATCCCTCTTTTAACGGGATATATATATCCTTTTCATGTTACTTTAAACGCTATACGTAACGAATTCACGCGTATTATTATGGGCATATTATCTAAAACAAGGGGCAAAATGTTTCTTGCGCGGAAGTGTTTAAGATAAAAATTATTTCTTGCTAGTTACGACTTTTAATTGTGGCATCGCGATCAATCGAATCTTAAGTAGTGTCACAATTGTAATTCGATCAGTGGCGTAACTTATAGAGCTCCTTCTCCTCCCCCTCTTTCCCCCTCCTTTCTCTCTCTCTCTCTCTCTCTCTCTCTCTCTC